CCGGCAGCATTTAAGGGAGAAAGGGGAGAAGAGTCTGACCACAGCCAGAATGTCAGCAATGGCACAGGGACTAGAAAACACATGCTGGGCAGGAAAAAACATCAAGACATTGTGTGTCCAGTGTCTAGACTCACACGTGTGGGGAAACATGACCGATGTCGAAACTGGGTCCTGCTCCACAGCCCTCCCCAGGCACTGTCTGCCCAGACTGCCCAGGGCACTCCTGGTACCAGGAGGGAGGAGCCCGCGTGGATCGGGCACAACACGGGCCCGCGGGCCTGGAGTGACCGGGCCAGCAGCTCCCTGACTCACGTCTTCCAAAGTAAACTCTCCTCGCCCAGTTGATATCCAAGGCCACCTGCTTCAAAGTTGGGGGGAAGGAGGGCGCAGAGGGCGCAGGAAGGGGGGCTCGGGCCACACCCAGTGCCCAGTGAGAGAGTCAGGAATTTACCTCGGCTTGGGCTCCACGGACTGCACGTGATTAACAACAAACTCTTGGGTGTGTGCTGTGCACTGTCCCTTCAGTCCCCAGAACCCCTCGCCGTGGGTGAAATTATTGTCCACAGATAACAGGGACTATAAAGGACGGCCGGGCTCCAGACAAGGCTCCAAGGTCCAGGCTCCCCCCGGTCACTGTACCATTGCCTCGTCTGTTACAGAGGCCGGGCTTTCCAGCACCCAGCTCAGCCAGGCCTGGGGGTCCCGGGAAGTCCAGCGGCCCCAGGTTGGCTGTGCGGAAATCCCACCCCTGCCCCAGGTCAGGACGGAGCGGCCCTTGGCCCGGGTCCCTGGCTGTGGTCCCGGCGTCTGGGGTCTCTGGGAGTTCTGGCCTGATTTAGGCCATCAGAGCTCCTGGGTGGGTGGAAGCGTGTTTGGGTGTCCTCCACATGGTCGCTGCCTGCAGGAGCTCAGGCCTTAGGGCGCCGACATTCAGCATAAAGGCAGAGGGCAGGGGCTTGGTTTCAACAATGACCCTTCCTAATAAAAACAAAACCAGGATCCTGCCGCCCAGCCGGCTCGGTGGTTGGGCGTCGACCCATGAACCAGGAGGTCGCGGGTTCGATTCCCAGTCAGGGGGCGAGCAGGAGGCAGCCCAAGGACAATGTTTCTCTCTCATCACCGTTGCTATTTCTCCCTCCCCTTCCTCTTTCTTAAAAAAGTCAATAAAAACATATTTTTAAAAAAATAAAACCAAGGTCCTGATTCACAGAGCTCTCAATCCCCCCCCCCC